TATCTAAATGAGGTTGTAAGAAAGAAGGGGGGAAGATTCTTTAGCAGGATCTGTCCTGCTAGGAAAAGGAGATGGTTTGAAATTAGAACAAGGCAGTTCAGTTTAGAGGTAAGAGGTTTTTAGGATTATGCTAGTGAGGTACTAGAACAGATTGATGGAAGAGGTAGTGGGTGCCCCATTCCTGGAGATATTCCAGGTCAAACTGGACTGGGCTCTGAGCACCTGATCAGGCTGTAGGTGTCCCTGTTCATTGCAGAGGAGTTGGACTAGGTGACCTGTAAAAGCCCATTCCAACTCTGAGGATTCTGTGATATACACTTAAGTGACAGAAGCAGGCCAGGCGACACTGTAAAACTTAAGAAGGCAGCTGGGAAAAATCTGAGATTTGTCCCAAAGGAATGTGGAGGGGCTCATCTAAGAAGGTAATGTCATGTCACAGTTGAAGTTCTTCTACACCCATGCAAACAGCGTGAGAAGCAGAGCAGGAGAGCTGGGGAGCAACAGTGGATTTGGAAAACTATGACTTAAGTGATATTGCGGAAATATGGTGGGGTGAATTGTACCACTGGAACATTATGATAGAGAACTACAAGCATTTTAGAAGAGATAGGCATTCCCTGGGGTGGATGTCCTATGTGTTAAGAAATGGACAGCTGCCTTTGAGGAGAAGCCACAGACAGGCTGGGACTGGATGAATAAAGGACATCTGGTGGTTGGGCTCCTACAGTAGGTCACTTGATCACGGGGAGCCTGTGGATGAGGCCTTCTTGCTTCAACTACAAGAAGTGTCATTTTCACAGGCTCTCATCCTGATGGGGCGTTTCAACCATTTGGATGTCTCCTGGGAGAACAATGTGGCAGTTTCTAAGTAATCCAGGAGGCTGTGAAGTGTGCTAAGGATGACTTTCTGGTCCAGGTATTAGAAAAACTAACCAGAGAAGTGGTACTGAACCTGGTGCTCACTGATGCAGAGGAGATCATTAAAGAGGTTAAGACTGAAGGTAGTCTGGTCTGTAGTGACCATGCTCTAGTTGAGTTTGTGATCTCAAGTAACGTGGGGCTGGCAAAGAACAGAGTAAGGACCCTGAAAGTAAGAAGAGTGAACTTCTGTCTGATTAAGGAATTGAGTGGGATCCTTGGGAATAAGCTGTTCTCTGGGACAGAGGTATGGAACAGAGCTGGCAGCTCTTCATGGATGCATTTCTGATAACATGAGCTCTCCATACTTCTGTGTGTAAGAAATCCTGCAGAGGATGCAGGAAACTAGCATGGCTGAATAGGCATCTGCTGGTCAAGCTGAGGAAGATAAGGGACCTTGACAGGCCTGGAAAGCGAGCCCATGTGAATGTAGAGAGGTTCAACGAAGGTAAGTGGAAGGTGCTGTACTTTGGATTGCTTGGTCTGGACAATCCCAGCTACATGTACAGTCTGGGAAAAGAACTCATTAAGAGCAGCCCTGCAGAGAAGGACCAGGGAGTCCAGGTGGGCAAAAAGCTGGACATGAACCAGAAGTATGCACTTGCGGAAGACGAGCAGTATCCTGGGCAGCATCGAAAGAGGTGGCTGGCAGGGAGAGGGAGATGACTGTCCCCCTCTGCTCTGCCCTCATGCAGCCACATCTGGAGAACTGCATCTGGATCTGGGGCCCTCAAGAAACAAAGGACATAGAGCTGTTGAAGCATGTCCAAAGGAGGGACCGCATGCCACAGAGATTATGGAGCACCTCTTACATGAAGAAAGGCTGAGGGAGCAGGCTTGTTGAACCTGGAAAAGAGATGTTGCTAGTAATGTTTTTGTTTACTTTTTTAGGAACGACTTAATGCTTTCACAAGAAGCTTTGAGAAGGGACTTTTCTTGAATATTTTATATGTTCTCCACTTAACTGGCAAAAAAAGGCCCAGGGCTTTTATTTTTTTTAAACTACTTCTTGCTCTGAGTTTAATTCCAGAAATAATTAGATTTTAAAAATAGGTCTGGATTTTGACTAACGGCTTATATTTGCCCTATGTGGAATTGTTGCAATTGTCTATTAATGTAAATGTATTACAGTGTGAATTACAGTTTATTATGATGAAATTCAAGAAATTATTAATGTTGGCAATACTTATGTTCTTTACCTATCTCATTCATGGTTTAAATGCTTGCATTTACGGTTAATTTGAAAATGCTTCCAGTATTAAAAATGCTTCCAGTATTCAGACCTGAAGAAGCTTCTTAAACTTGGCACTCTCACCAAAATGTTTCCCCATCAGACTTCCTTCCTAGTACCTTTAGGACATTAGCAAAACCTCACTGTCTTACAGTAAGCAAACTTTCTGAAACTGGAAACTCTGTCATAATGCAACAGCAGAAAAAGAGAATTCTAACCACTCTTTTTCCCGAAACACACTCTTACAGATGCATATGAGCAGGAGAAAAATCTAATAAATGAATATTTTAAAATGTGTCTTAAAACATCTAATGGGTAGTTATTTCAAAGACTAAATTGCAATCATTATATAATGATTTTTTTTAAGACTATAAGATCTTCTGTTATCTATTTTTGTTTGTGGTGACCAGAAAAAAATTTTGGAAGAGAAATGTTGGTATTGAACATCTTTTATGGAGAAGAATATTGTACTCTTTCAGAAAACCAAAATTAAAGAGAGCAAATTAATGAAGCATAGCATTGTTGATTAAGCAAGCAGATTAACGAAGCATAACATTTTTGGTAGTGTCACAAATTACAGTCAAGTTACTGTCTCAACATTTTGCTGCACTTCATCTGGTGAATACTGACAATACATTAGGCTAAGATAAGATATAATATTGAAAATGGGCATCTTTTTTGCTTTTATTAAAAAATCCCTTGCATACATTGTGTATAACAAAACAGTCTGTAATGGGTGCACTCACGAATGCACATATGCATAAATATTCAAATTTCATTTCATGTCAAGCATGAAACTTTCTTTTTTTTAAAAGCTGAAAACATCATATCAGAATTACAAGTGTTCATATAATTGTCTGTGAAACTCATAAGTAGCTTCACTTAACCTACTTTATTGTTTAGGAATTGTTGGTTAAGATTATGTTCTCTATTTAAACATTTATCACTGAGAATGAGCCCTTGAGTGTGGGATAAATGTTTATTTTTACGTGGTTTCACTGTTAAATGTTGGTGATATAGATTTGTGGCATATCTATTGATCTCATTTACTTGCTGCTTTGACATGCTTTGGTACTACCCATTCCATCTTCACTGAACATCTCTAGGCTTCATTGTAGTTTTTAAATCCTGCTCTACTTCCTCACAGCTCTGATTTATATCTTCTAATTGGCTACCATCTCTAGATGGTCATGAAGCACCTATCATATGCTGTGTCTAGTTTCAAAGTATGTAGTGACTGCCTAGGAAATGTCTTTTTTTATTATTAAAAAAAAGGTGCTGAGATCTTCCTTCTTCTGAATGCTTTTCTTCAGTGAGGCCCTTATATACTAAGGAAAAGGCCCAAATGTAATTTTACATAAATGGTATTCTTGTCTATTGTAAGCCTTCTTGTCTCTAGTAGACTGGATTTTAACTGTGGCTTACACCAGTAATGAGAAGTGGTCAACAGTCAGGGAAAGATTCATTCACACTTCTGTAGGAAATCAAACTTGGGCAGGTAGGAGGTAAATGCAATATCTTGAATCAATTTTTCTCCTCTTCCATGAATTATCATGGAACTACTAAAATAGCACATTAATGAATGATGTAATTGAAGTTAGGTGTTCTGAGGAGTTTGAATTAATTTTTATTCTGGGGCGAAAAGAGTATGGAGTTTTAGGAGAAATAAGGGTTTTTTTTTACACTGTTAAATGAATACTATAGTTAATTCCTAAGTAACTTTGAGCAATTTAAAAGTATGATTGTACAATTCAGTTATTCCTAGAAATCCAGTAGGTAATGCAGGAAGGGGAACTGATTGATATGATGGCTACTAGCTGAAGTGGGGCCAGTCCATGCAAGTGTTTGAGGATGGTGGCCTTTTTCTTGTTCTGTTCATGCAAAGTTGCATGTAGGAGCACTTTGTTTTCTGGCAGGCCTCTTCAACCCTTGATTTGTGTGTCTGTCTCACTTCCTCTGTCCCTGACACTTAATTTTCTGCATTTAACTATGTGTGGCTGACTTAAGTCACTGCTAGCCTAGCTGTTTGAATAGTGCTGTCTTGAAATCAGTCTCCTTCATTGAAAACTTGAATAAAAGAGGGACCTTTTTTGCTTTTACTTTTAAGATTGCTATTGTATTCAAGTAGGTGACAATACAAAATATTGCTTCCTGAAAAATGCTACAAATCAGGATGAATCACAACAATGGCCAATTGATGCTGTATTGCTTAGCTTTTTATTTCTGAGCGTGTTTGGGTTGGTTAGTTGTTTAACAGTTTAGTTTTTTGGAGTAGATATATCAAGATTAACAAAATTCAGATAACTGCTATCTTTGCTTTTTTCTGAAACACTACTGCCTCATTGGCAATGTTAAAGGATTTCTTTTCCTCTAACAGATTGGTCTCATTCTTGTGTAATAATTGCTTGTTCTCCTGTATGATACTTGCTAGGAAAAAATGACCATGTTTAGGAGGCAGCTGTAGATTACTGTGATGATACCATCTTAATTTAAGAGTTGTCATGGTAATGCTATCATTTTCAATGCTCTTACTCTTCCATTCCCTGTTGTAATGTCTCATCTCTTGCTTGTGATTACTTGTAATATCTCTGGGATTAACTATATCAGTCTATGCATATTTATAATACTTGGAGTGCCACAGAACAAATGCTGCCATCTGGACAATGCTGCATTAGAAGTAATAAAAGTTACATGATCTAATTAATATGTAGATGAAATAAATAGTATTTTTGATAACTTATGCTAATATCTTCTGCTAATAAACATATTTCAGAAGGGAATAGAAGGGAAAAGCATTATTTGGGTGCTAATTGTAGGTGAATATGCTAACCAACTGCTGACCATTGCACAGGTTCAACTTCTGGCACACCATCACAAGAAGTGAAGAGAAATATGCAACTAGTAGAATTTGCAGTACCACCACAGAAACAAACTAGACGAAAGCTAATGGATTCTCCAGTCAAAACTCCAAGTTCTGCTGCATCCAAGCACTTCAGCTTCTGTCATTTGGAGGATTCTCTAAGCAAGGAAGTTCAACCTATTGTATATACACCAGAATCTTGCAGAAAACCAATACAAAGCAGCTGTTCACAGACTGTGGTAAAACAAGCATTACACCTGGCAGGCCTTCCAGAAACAAATCAATGTAATACAGGTATTCAGCTGAGAAAGCCCACTATTACAGACTCTGTGTGTGATGTTATCCTAGACTGTGATGAAGATAGAATGGACTCAACAATAATTCTCAGTGAAGGAACAAGTGAAACAAATGGAATTTCTATTGACTCATCTGCAGAGGAGTCACAATCATGCAGCAGTAGCATTCTTCAAAGGTATTTTTCCATTTATTTGGACAAGGAATGTTATCTGTTGATTTTTTTTGTTTCTATTTCCCAAATGTTTTAATACTATTTATTTTTAAGAACCTATCTTTTGTCATTGATGCAGAGGTTACAAGTAAAATTAACTAATGCTTTGAAAATCAAACCTTCAATTTTAATTAGTATCAGATACAATTTTGCCATTATTTAAAAATCAATGATATGTTAGTAGTAAGAAATTACTAATAACGTGATAACGTGAGGAGTTTTATTTGCCTTCTATCCAGAATACATTTCATAAAGTAAAATCATTTGTTTTCAGACTTGGTATTTCTTCCTTGAAAAACAAAAATCCTGCTTCAGTACTTGAGAAGCCCTCGTATATGGCAATGACTTCAGCTGCTGAGAGAAAACGAAAGGTATTAAGGTAAGATGTAGCAGAAATGCTAAGTCATGACCTGAAACAGTGATTGAGCATTTGGTGGGAAATCAGGGCCAAACCAGAGGAGCTCAGGTGCAAGCAACATACCTGAGTGACCAGAAGGGCTAGAGCCAGGATCCACCCCTTCCCAGACCTCATTTAAGGGTTGGCAGTAGAGGCGAGAGTTTCTTGCTGGAGATCCCTGTCTGAGGCCTTCCAAAGGTGGGCAGCTTTTTTCCTTCTGCATCTGTGGCTGCTGCACTTTGGTTTCTCCACTCTTGCTGCAGCCTGGGACTCTGCTACCCTGCTGTCATTGCTGTATTTTCCATCACATTATGGTGTTACATAACGTTCAAGTTAACTCCTGCAATTCTGTTTAGACGAGTTCACGTTCATTTCTCTTGTTCTTACTACAGTTTTGGTGTCATTTCAAATTCAAAAGCATCTTATATAAGTCATCTGAATCTGCACATGAGATATTCTGACTCAAATCTTTGACAATTCAAATTTTCTCTTGACAAATTGAGAAGAATGGTTTTCGGCTAGCTTTTAGTTCAAAGGTTTCTGTTATTTTAGTAGAATAAGTACAAACGAACATATCCTCCATATCTGCTGTCAACTCAATAGGAAAATATCATATATTTCTGAAAAAGAGGAAATTCTGTCATCATCCAAAAATCTAATTTATTTGGGAGTGCTGTGCTTTCACTGGAAGACGTAAGACTGCCAAAATGGAAAGTGGAGAAAATGTTTGATAATACTCATGGTCATTTCCTTTGTTTTTCTAATAATTCACTTCTGTTCTGAGTTATTATGACTTCATTCTTGTGCTTCATTCTGTTTAAAAAAAAAAAAAAGAAACCCTTCCATTTCATCAGTTCCGTATTTAGACCTGGAAAGAGATTTGGTGGGAGTGGCAAAAAAGCTGCAACTGAGTAGAAACTAAGTGGAGTTTTGTACTGCCTGTTGATTTTTTGTTTAAAATTTTACAGAATCACAGAATGGTCCAGGTTGGAAGGGACCTCAAGGATCATGAATCTCCAGCCCCCCTGCCACGTGCAGGGATACTAACCTCCACATTTAATAATGATAGATCGGGCTGCCCAGAAACCTGATCTTAAGGCAAATGTTTTGAGATAAGCTCCAGGAGCGTAAACTAAACTGTAAACTAAAACTCTTTATGGTTTTTCTTGGTGTTTATGAAGGGAAGGAATGAAAGCTACTTATTTGTCATAGAGAAGAAGATCATCCTTTCTTATCAGAGGGCTTCTTTTCAATTTATCTTCGTTATTTTTCCCCATCTCTTGTTTTTCATGCTTTACCTCTTCGCATTTGTTCACTCCAGTTGCTCATCTACTAACATGAAAATAAAAATATAGATTTCTGACATTCTCTATGCTGTAAATGGTCCTTTTGTTAGGAGATAAGTCAGTTAGATTAGAGTCTGTTTTTACTAAATAGAGCTTAAGCTAATAAGATTGTAATGCTGTTCCAAGAAGCAGCAATGTGACTAGTTCTTAGGACAGATACAGGGCAGACCTTGGTCTTCACTGCTTGCTACATATTTTCAGAAAATTATTAAAAGAACTAGTACAAGTTAGATGACTATAAATAGAGATAGTACAATCCCATTAGAGGGATGGGGAAAGTATAGATTCTTTGACACAAATAGAATAGACTTATGAGGTGTTCTAAGAAAAGTGAAACCAGGGATACAAGTGAGGGAAGCATGTGAGGCTGAGATTTCTGAAAGGTTCTTATTTTTCCCTGTGCATCTTAATTCCATCATCTTAAAGGGCATAAAACACAGTTTTTTTTCTTAGTGAGTTTGAAGCTGTAACATCTTTCTTGCAGTTTCTCTGAAAAGTAGAGAAGCCACCCTTCTTCTGCTGTTGGAGCCTATAGAACAACTACTGTGGCAATAAAAAGTTTGACCAATGTGAATTCCTGGAACAAGTCACTTGAGGGATATCATACCTAAGTTAAAGTTGTTTCTTAATGTAATCATACGATGTGCAGTGACCATCAAACTGATTTCTATGGTTTTCCAGAAGATAATATATTATGAGTTCTTCACTTCACAATTGAGCAACGTTAAGTCTTGTTTTTACAGCTGGAATACTCTTAAGTTTTTTAAAAAAGGAAGAAAAGAGGAATCTTTCTCATGTATAAACATCATAAAGAAATTAGTTTATTCTTTGCATTTGGTTGTGAACTACCAATACTTGATAATACTATTTAATGTATTTTGCATATTGCAAGGATGAATTAACTGTAAGATAGCTTAATCAGTTGACTGAGAGCAAAATGTCTGTTTTTCCAGTTCTACATCAAATGCTGGCTTAGGTAATCTGCAAGACCCAATTTCTCCAAAACGTGTTCGAAAAGAGATGTTAAACAACAGAGTATTGAGAGTACCCAAAATGTCAGGTAAGCATCAAAACACTGTGTTGGCAATCAAGTTTTTATAGGTGGTTCAAATTTAAGGTCAATGCATGTAACTTCTGTGATTTAGCATGTTTAGAAACGTGCTGCTTTGATCAGTATATTAAACCATTGGTTTGAATAATATATCCATGCATTTAATAATAAATAAAATTGTTAACATTTTAACAGTTAACTGGATAGTATCTAATGAAAACTCAGTATTGCAAGCTTGCTGAAGAGAACCTTGTCACAAGAGCTATGGATGCCACCAAAAGCTTTCTGTGCTGGTTGAAGTTTGAAATCTAGTACCACTTTAATTTTTTTTTGCCAATTGTAGTTTATCAGAAACTAAAATAATGTCTTCTATTTGTAATAATGTTTTTCTTCATTAGGAATTAAAACAAAGAGCTTGAAGCGAGAACAGGATGTGCCAAGAAACCTTGTTAGAAGCTTTTCTGAAGGAAATGTAGCAGTGGGTGTTAAAGCACGGACATCCAAAAGCCTATTACTTCATGTTTGCAAGAAAAAAAATAGGATTTAGATTCTGACTTCATATTTCAAATGGGGTTGATGGAAAGCAAGTGAAAACAGTGACTTTTGTTTTCCTTCTGTAAATTTTTTTGTTAAAGATGTCTCTCTCAGTAATGCAGTATTTTATAAGACCCAGTTACTGGAAATGTGTATTTTGTAAAATTTTGAAATAAATTACATTTGGTTTTCGTCTCCTATTTGAAGCTTACATCTGTTTTTCAATATAATAGCAAATTAATATGAACTATTATTTGAAGTTGTGAATTTAGAACTGGATGGTATGCCTTACACTGTATCTTTTGTGAGCTTCTCCCTGTAAGTATGACTAGAAATTAAGACTTGATAAGATGCAAGACTTGAAAGGGAATTAGTGGTGCTGTAGTTTTTCAAGTTCCTCTAATTGCTTACCTACACTCAGTTTTATAGTGATTTTATGATAGAGAAGTTAGAAATTCTTTTGTCCTGCAAAATATTTTTCACTGAAATTTTATAGTATTAATACTGTGAAATATGTTTAGTGTACTTATCTTCAGCATTAGGATGCCAGCTTGTTCTTAGATAACATCCTAATTTTGGATACTATGTAGCATACATGGAGGAAGGAAAAATACAGGAAGGATTTTGGTTTTTTTAATGTGTTAGGGCTAAAATTTTAAACTGTTTTTACTCTTTTACTTGTAAATTTTTGTAACTTGCATTTTTAATTGATTTGTAAATAGGATAATATTGTTGATAACTTTGAATAAATTTTTAGTTGTAAACAAGAGCAGTATGTGAATTTATCTTGATGAAAAATTGCTTTTTCGTACCTTTGAAAGAGCCAGAATTTTTGAAAGTATTATAAGATCTGTATGTTCTGTATGTTTTGAGAAATTAATATTCAGAGACAAAGAGTTGCAAAGTTACATTGTAACCCTGGCATCCTGCTCACCCTTAGCAATGTTGTGCTGGTGTATTTGGCCTGTACAAATATAAGCAGTAAGTGGATGTGTGAACTTCCCCAAACTAACTGGAACTAGAGGAAGAAGTCCAGTAACTGGTTATCCTAGTGTCAAATACGTGTCTGAATTCAGCAAGCAACCTACAATTCAGTAAGTCAGGTGACATGAAGTGTGCTGCAGAACAATGTTCTGGCTTTAGCAATTCTAACAAACCTAAGGGTTTAACACACAGTTGTTGTGATGGTAACAGCAATAAGTTTTCTTGCAATAGCAGTGAACTGGATTACATCATCTAATAGCCTTTATCAAACTTGTTCCTGAAAATATTTTAAGAATTTCCAAATCTTTATAGGTTTATACATGTATTTTTGCTCTGTATAGCCTTTGATATTTAGGCAAACTATTGAAATCTTTACAGTTCATCTCTCTAGCTGTCATGTTGGTGGCTATTGTTGATAAAGTTGAGAGTTTAAGAGCACTTCTAAAGAAGAAAATAGTAACAGCCTGTATAAACTTCAAGGACCACTTGTGGGAGGAGCTGACAATATATCAGTGTCTTGATCTTCGTCAGCAGGGTTCAAAGAAGCAACAGCTCCTTCAAAATAGGTATTGATAGTTAAAAATGAAAAGAAATTAAATCACCTTACTTATGTTCTAAAAGGTTTGTATAAATATGTGATATAGCAATGGAGAGCACACGTTGATGCTGGTAGCATAGTGAGGACTGAGAAAACATTGACTGTTGAAAAGGTTTTTATGAAAAGTGTCCTAAAAGGTAGAAAAGCATTAAAAAAAGTTTGGGCTTGACCATATCCCAGTCAGATGTTATAATAAATAGAATGAGATGAATGGCGAGGAAGTAATTTTAATACTTCTCTGCCATGCTAAACAACATGTTTTTGGGATTAATTTTAACCTGGTACCAGGCTGAAATTGTACAGACCTTTGTTTTTTATTTGAGACTTCTTTTTTGCAAGCTATTTAATACAAAATGTCCATCGGAGGCATTTATTCTGCTTCACATCTGCAGGAGACATGTTGGGCTTTGCTTGTTAATACCGTTGTGATAGACACAGCTTTTGTTGCATGTAAGAGATGTATTTTGAAAGGTTTTTAGACAAGCTTGTGCATGCAACATTTTTATGCTTGATCAAACCATAGAACTGATGAAGTCTTTTTTCTTAATGTGTTTTGTGTGCTCCTGAGTTGAACTGATTTGATTAGCATACAGTGCTTCAAAGAGACTAAAGAAAAAATCAAGTATGTTGTGAAAATGAGCACATGTGAGATAGCTGGGTAGCAGGAGTAGAGCTATATTGACAGCAAGTTTGTTAGCTAGGTCTGCATTTATAGTTGATAAGTAGCAAAATGGTTTCCAGAAATGATAAGGTTGAAGGATTTTCACAGTTCAGATTGCTGTTGGTAGGTTTTCTGCTGTATTAGTCATGCATTTATTGTTGCATTTTGTGACCACATCCAGACTTCATAAGGTGCTTCATGCAAGTAGCTGGTGTGGGACTTCTCAGTATTTAAGTTTTCTGTCAGATTACCAGTTTCTACTTAAGTAAAAACCAAATGGTATTTAGAGAACAGGGAAGCTGTCATATAACTCATCTTATTTCCTTGCCTGTCTGCATTGCCTGTTACCTGTTGGCCTGCCTTTACAAACGGAAATAGTAGTCACTCTTTAGGTGATGTTTATCTGAGATACACATATAATTGTTCTCATGCTGTTATACCATGCAGTATTAATTTATGCCAGATGGGATGTAAGGGAATATTGTACAACATAATGTGACACAGGCCAATTCAAAAATTCAAATGATTTGAGTCTATTTAATCTTATTTTGTGTTTAAGCATGATAATAGTTTAAAATTGCTTGAAAATGTGCTCCTGACATCTTAAATACCAAATAATCTTCAGGTAATAAGTGAACCATCTTCATGAGATACCTGATGATTTTTGTGTGCTTGGACAAATGTACCTAGCAATACTAGTGCTCAGCTGGTATTTTTTTTCCTGTATATGATTGCAATCAACAGTAACGTCAATGTTGTACATCCAGTACTGTGTGTGTTTAGTGGAGTACCTAGGAGTATAAGCTGGGAACCCTAGTAACCTCTTTCTGGGCCTCAGCCAGGCTTTTAGGATGGCTTGCTATTACAGTTATTCAAAAAGCTTGTAGCAGTCTGTTTTACCAAGAGGTGAATAGTTCCCATGACCAAATGGGTTGAGATGTTTCTGAAAATCAATTTGTTCCAAGTGTGAAAAGGATGTTGATGATCCAGTCCCACTGGGAAATTCTTATGAAAACTTGCAAAGGCCATAGGGTATAGTTTGTACTGTGACTCATTTACTTATTTTCATTGCAGCAAAGTGAAATAGGACTATCTGAAGCATAGCAAATCTTGGTTGTTAACTGGGCTTGGGAAGCTATGAATATTTGTTACCGAGCTTGGAGATGGTTGCAGTCTAGAGACATATGTAGAAGAATGAGAATAATATTGTTGCTATTGAGGCTATAGAAAGTGCTGAACCATTTGTAATGGAGTTGCTACATCTACATACTCAAAGTAGTTCTCATAATCGTGAATTTACAAGCAATTTAGTCATTCATTTTTATGGTGATTCTTCTAATTTATCTGACATATGGACCTGCCCTGCTATGCTAGCATTTTTGTGCCAGGATCCTGGGCATGCTGAAAGCCAATCGTGTCCATTGATTTTCGCAGAATTTGAACAAGATTAGTTATCCTGGTAACAAAAAGAGATTTCATTAAATTTAGATCCAGCCACAGCTGTAGGTTTTTACAGGTTATTTCAAATCTTAAGATCAAGCACGCAATTTTATTTTTGTCTTAAATCTGCCTAATCTGTCAAATTGGCAAAGTACAGAGACCTGGTTGGATTATTTCCTGATTGGAAAAGTTGCTCTTGCAGTAGTGGGAGAACTTTTCATATGAAGGTTATGAGATGTTCACCCTGTCAGTTATCTTTGAGAGTGAGTTCTACAATTAAATACTCACTATCCTCATCTGAGGAAGCTGAGTCTCTTGTACCTTGTAAGAGTCAGTACTCTGGCTGTGAAAACAAAGGTTTATGATAGCCAAGTGGTCCACCTTGAAAATTATTTGGAGTCTTTGGTAGCCGTGTTTCAGTTTGTTTGGCTTTTTTAAAATTCCTATAAATAGACATGAGAAGATTGGTTTTAACAGCTTAGACAAAGTAGATGTTCTTAGAAAATTCATCTGCTAAAACTGTAAAATATGTGTTCTTCCCTTTAGGAAATTCTAAGGACCTTACTAATAGAGAGTCGATGTGTAAAGTTAAATGGCCCGTTTTATTTCTCTGCTCTGTAGTGCTCTTGGGGAAATTATTCCTGATTTCCCCATTGCTTTAAGCTTAATTGTGCTATACATATTGGGTATTAAGGTTTTATGTAGCATGACCGTTGCACATCTAAATTGTACAAGGGAGTGAATTGAATAGATATATAATTCAATATCAGAAGTGGAGCAAATCAAGCTTTAAAAGCCTGACTGAAAGAATTTTCACATTGTCGTTTGAATTTTAGTGTACTGCTGTTGCTGACACTGTGTTTTGCTGGATACTTATAGTTTACAGAGTCTTATAGTGAATCATAAAAACACTGTTCACACCATAGCCAGCTAGCAAATGTGTTTACAGGCTACTACTTTACTGTGCCTTTCACTGAAGCAGTTGGTTCATTTACTTAAAGATGTGTTAAAAGATGTTTATAATAGCCAAGTTAGTTTATCTAAACTACAAAATTGTGGAATATCCCAAGTTGGTTGCTGAAGGGAGAATTAAAAACCAATAATGAATGAATCATATGGTTAGAATCATATGGTTAACATGGAATATTTTTTAATTGAAATTCCATAGTTAATTTCCTCTTGTTCATCCAACTTGCATCATAACAATGGTATAACGAAAAAGAGCAGAAAACACAATAGTAATTAGACTTAATTATATGCAAGTGTTGGGAGGGCCTGTAATGCAGATGACACTTCTAGACACACGAGACAAAAGCATCCCTTGACCTGAGCAGTGCATGTGTGATGTTGTTAAGCTTATACATCACTCTGTGGTATGCTCACTTTCATCATTTAAAAAAAAAACAAGAATGCCTGGAGTAACTGTAGTATCTAACTGAGGAATGTTTAAAAAACAGAAGTGGAAAGGTAAGTGCTGAAGCTGTTCATCTGAGGCATCTGTCAAACAGTTGGCACAGTTGTCCAGTTGGCTAGGGTATCCCTGTCCTTGGCAGTTTGACCAAGCCTGAGTGACTTGGTCTGAAGCCAACGTTGACCCTGTTTTGAGCAGGTGGTTGGAGTAATGAGTTTTCAAGTTCCCTTCCAACCTAGATGATGCTACAACTTGAGAAGGATCAATTGACTTGAAGCAAAGAGCCAGTAGAAAGTACATCACAAGTATTTAAAGATGTGCTAGTAGATTTATTCTACTAGCCAATAACACTAAAGATCAAATATGAACAGCTAGTTGTGTGACATGAGATTTATTGCTTTGATTGTCCTTAATATCAAAGAATGGAAAGAGGCAAATACAGCTGTATTTTGTAGGAGCTGCAGGGATCTTTGCAAGTTTGAGTGTAATAAGCTGTTTGTCATAGTGCAATACAGACAAGATCTGGAGTAACTAGACCTGTGGGCAGATGATCTGTTGCATTACTTTACAAGCTCTGAGCTTATAATAAGATAGAAC